TGTGTTTGCAAGCAGTGTGTCTTAAATCTACCTGTGTTTGCAAGCAGTGTGTCTTAAATCTACCTGTGTTTGCAAGCAGTGTGTCTTAAATCTACCTGTGTTTGCTAGCAGTGTGTCTTAAATCTACCTGCATTAGCCAATCAGTGTGTCTAAAATCCACCTGGGTTTGCCAGTAATGTGTCTGTAACGAATCATAAACACAGTTGTGTGTGTTGTGATGTTGTTACTTGTAGGGTTGTAATGATCACCTATACCATACTGTGCATCCACAGTTTACAGACGTCCACCATGTTTATCCAAATAAGCACCAGAGGAATTTGCATCCCGACTTTTATGGACTGATGAACGGACACACAATAAAACAATATCTCTGTAGATCAGAGTCAAATACAATTCTTCATACAACTTCTTCTGTTTCACAAAATGAGCATTAAGATGCTGTTAATAACTGAAATGAACATGGCCAATGCCAAATACATGAATCGCTTCAAAACATTTATGACCGTTACACTGTATCCCATAATTCCTGACTTCCTGTTATTTCTATTTTACAAAACAATTCATTATTTTACGAAAAAAATTGATATCTGAGCATTAGATATGTGACAGTGTCTAAAATCTACCTGCGTTACCCAGCAGTTTGTCTAAAATCTACCCGTGTTTGCCAGCAGTGTGTCTAAAATCTACCCGTGTCAGTCAGCAGTGTGTCTTAAATCTACCTGTATTAGCCAGTAGTGTGTCTTAAATCTACCCGTGTTAGCCCCTTTTCAAATCCCCCCCCCCAACCACGGGCCTGTTAAATTCATTGAACACCACAGTGGGCGTAACATTGTCTAGCGGCGGCAGGGGGTGCAAGGGTTGGAGGGGGGGGGGAGTGTTGTTATATTTCACATCAATTTTAATTGTTTCAACTCCGAGCCTTCTCGTCATGTCACGGCGATTTATTAGAGGCTATTTCGCTCACTGCGCATTTCCTGGTCATTTGAGACAACTTCTTCATACACGTGTTTAGAAATGAAATACTTGCACTGGCAAGTGCATAGATAACCATGGATAAAAAAAAAATGTGTATTAAAAAAAACAAAACCAAAAAAAAAAAAAATTCTCATTTAATACCACACAATTTTTTGTTTCTGTCTTGCGGAGGACGTCATCGAAAGATTTCTGCCATTTATTGTTGGGAAGTTCGCCGTAGGCCATCAGCTCTGTTTTGAAGTCATCTTAATGAATGGCCCGCCAGCTCGCTTCACTGTAACTCTAGATTTGTCACCAGGATCCGATCCTTGCTTATTTCTTTTCGTTAATCCACAAGGCGAAGAATGAATGATAACATTCTGAAATTTAGAATAATAATACGTTGTAAAATAATAAAATCGTATAAAAGCATCATATTTATAAATTATGCGTTTATTCATAACA